TGGCTCCGGTCGTCGTTGATTTCTTCAGTCACTTTGTTTATGCGACTTCATTTCCCTTGACAGGCGGGTTTTTTAGTGAAACCGGAAACGTTCACACCGAGAGCAATGACAGGTCCGTCGCACAGACCGGAAGAAGCCGGTTAGCGTCAGCAGTTGGTGAGCCCCAAACTGTTATTGCCTGACCGGTCAACGGTTCCTCATCACTCCATCGCATGCTTGATAGCTGTTGGACTGTCTAAAAGTTGAGCAGGTTCCCTTGCCCTGAAGTTAGGAGTTTGACAAAGGTTCATACATGCAACAGCATTTCGATGCCTCGGACGACACGGTAGGCCGAAGCCATGGCCACCAACACAGCGAACTAACGGCCGTATACGAAGCAATGGCACACATACGAGTATATACGATAACGGGGGCGGATGCACGATACTATTTCCCCGACGCACTCCGCGCAGCTAGCTGTTGCATCGTTGCATCGTCGATGCTTGTCGACGCGGCATTCGATGGCTTCACATGTGAGCGGGTCATCGAGTGCATGTATTTCACGGCACTTGCAGACATGGACACACTGTTGTGTCTGCATGATATGGACAGGGCGGTGCGAAGCGGTTGGCGACAAACAGAATCTTCGCCACCCTCGCCACAACACCTCGTTATCGGCTTGTTGACAAGTGCTTTTGTCAAGACTGGCTTGACTGGTTCATGCTGGATGCATGATGCCGTAGCTGACTCAGTCATGATAGTATTACTACAAGCTCCTCATACTGGCTGCAATCGCCTCACCGGTTCGCAGCCACCGTCTGTGCGCCATGTCGTGAACGAGGACCGCGTCCTCTGTCCGAGACCGCAGTACTCATTGATTCGCGGCTCGCACCGAGCTGGACTCAGCTGAGGGAAAATTCTTGTTTCAGTCCCAGCCCGCTGTCCCGTCCTCCAGCCGTCCAATCTGTCACTTGTCATGTTGGCAAAAGATCCCCCTTGCTTCTCTGCGTGAATAGCACAACGCTGGTCAATGGGGACCGGAGACTTTGTTAGGTTTCACCAAGGCAGTGGTCCGTACGCTGTTGGACTCGGGATAATTTTCATGCGCACTGACTTCATCGTGCTTGAATCGTACGACCAGCAGACGCCGACGATTCTGGACCGCAATCTGATTTTCTTGGATATCCTGTAACTTGTAAGTGAAGGGAGAAAACTTGTGTCTCGCCGAGATCAGACAGACTAGACTGTGGAGTGACGTTTCCATTATCACAATTCATGCTATTATTGACACCGGCTTGCACACCCGAACGTCTCTGGACACTCCCTACCTACCCGGCGGGATCCCTTATTGCACAGGGAGGCCAATATTACGTGTCCAACGGCCATTATATCAGCTACATGTGCCGGGAGACTGGTTTCATGTGGGCACTATTGACCCATGTCTTGAGGTTTTGGAGCTTCGGGGAGCAAGGGAGAAACAGCCGATTACGACTGTATGAATCATTCTCTCGTGTGATACTTGCGATGTGACTTGACTTGAGGAGTGACCGGGACGTGTAAGACTGTTGATGCATCGCGGAGCAACATGTCCAAGAAGAATGGCGTTTGAAGAGCGTTTCTCATGTTGTTCTCGACTCATCCATCACATTGACTATTCACAAGCCGAGATTGCCAGTCACGATCTGGTAGGTTTGACTTTTTCCCTCGTTCCGATCCCGGTTATCTGCAAAAGCAAGCGAGTAATTTGTAATATGTCGTCTGTCACATATTACACAGATTCACGACCCTGGTGCTCATCTGCCGCCGTGTTGGCCCAACATTAAGCGACGTTGTTGTAAATTGTCAGGCTCTTTGCACGAAATAACGACAGATTTCTCTGACGCTGTCTCCAACAGCGAAGTGTATCTCGAGTATATGAGGTTTACTGTAGGTTGAGGAAACGGCATGAAATGTCATGTTTGAATTGATCACGGAAGATAGGAAATTGGGGCCATATGCTGTTGGGAACCATTTGACTTCTTTGGTGCTTGGACATCGAATTATATGCAAGGTAGACGATTGTATGGATACGGCTTTGCAGTGTAAGCATATCTTTTGAAAATGGAATGAGTAGAAACGTGTATGAAATTGAACCATTTTATATGTCATAATCGAGCTGATAAAGGCCGAAAGGCTCCATTGGGGTGAATATTCAAAGCCTTTTATGGATTCGCAGTTGGCAAATGTGTGGAGGACTTGCCATACCGACATGCCGGAAGACAATCCAGAGAATAAGTAATGAGATATATTGGCTAGACTCGCCAAGTTGCCTTGCCCAGGTATGTCTGCCATTCAGAAACAGGATTGGAAGCTCCCCATGCCATTAGGCTCAAGTACGTGCTCTTCCGGGGCTGCAAATCGGCATAAACCTCGACGGTTGAGCTCAGGAGCACAGGCAACAATCTTATCTTGCGTCGGCAACTGATGCTGGGGCATCGCAATTGCCCAAGAAGCTGTGTTTTGGTTCATAGTACTGGTATTTTTCATCAGCCATGCTCCGCTCTCGGGTGGTTGAGTTAGGAGACGTACTTCCAAGGCCTTTGTGGCGTCGCTCCAACGCTGTCGAAATGATCAGCCTCCCAGCCCAAATGGGGCAGATGCCAAACTCGGCGTAGAGCCAAAAGCATAACATTCTGACCAGCGAGTGAAGGTGTACATGGTCTTGGTTGAAGACCCTTCATTCGGAGACAAGAATCGACGTAGGAAAAGAAAGGGGCTCATGTTCCGCATCTCCGGGCTCTCAGTAGCAAAGACCGGCTCACCGTCTTCCCGAAATCGTTCAACTGCCTTATATATGGAAGTTGAGGGCTTCTCAGCAACATAGTTCGAACCATCTATGAAAAGTCAAAAGTTGTTTGCCGGAAGTATGCCGCTGATGTATGCTTTTCCTCTTACTTTCAGATGGAGGGACTTGGGATTTCACAATCGTCTAAGAAATGGAAACTATATCGGCACATTAGACCACTGGTAGCGACAAAGTCTTCACCTTGCTTTGCCTTGCTTATTTGAATCCTTCAAATCCCAAGGCAGTAGTCTCACGAGTTGTTTTCTCAAGGCCTATTGCAACTACCCAGTTCCTGCCCAGTGACCCCATTATCCTCCACCAGATTTCAGTGGCTCAAAGCCAAAGAAAGGTAAGAGTTCTTGAGGCACTTGAGGTATTGCTCCCATTACCGGATGCTACGGTAGTGCAGCTTCTAACAGGTACAAGTTCCTTTAGCCAGCCCCAGGACAGTTTGGCTCATGGTCCTTCTAAACTAAATGATGCGACACTCGAATCAGCTTCCAGATCTGCCTCTCTTATCTCTCCAAACAAAGGGCCGAATGCAGACCCGATGACAGGAGAGAAGAGTTAGCCTTTTCGCTTTCGTTTTTGTCCCCCCTCCTTCATTCATCCGTGAGCACGTGAGCAACCTCTCCATATATATTTCCTTCAAACCCCCCTTCAAATAAAACTCAGACGTACACTTTAAACAGGAGGCATTGTTCACATCTCCAAATGGCAGACAGGGGGCATGGTTGCATATGGCGATGCAAGCCAGCGTCAAGCCATCCCAACAGCTGGAATTTCATCTGGCCCCGACTGGGTACGTTTTTCGGGGCCAACCTGGAGACAATGATGACCATCATGTTACGGGCAGGTGTCACCTCCCGAAGGCCCCAAAAGGGACCTTGTTGACTGCTGAGTCTCCAGGAAAGACATTCCCCCAGGCGAACCGGACTTCACTGAAACGGGCGGAGTGGCTGATGGCCAAAGAAGAATAAGATGACTGTATTTGATTTGGTTGAATGGATGGGAGGAAAACGAGGAGAAAGGGAGAAGAGGGGTGTTGAAGAGGTTGGAGATGCGGTCTACAGGCATCTACAGAGCACCGATAGTAAGTCAATTTGAAAGCATTAATCACTCTACAGGCACTTTCATTGCGGGGACTCGCGGATATCCAACAGCAGCCTCACCTCTTCGGCTCCTAGCTGGCAGATCGTGCTGACCAGACACGAATCAGATAACCTTCCAAGCGGCATGGTTCAAGTCACCAGAAAGAGGACGGAAGGCTCTGTATTGATTCTCATTTCAAAGCCTCCATACTCGCAGTGTATTGACTCACCATTTGATTACTAGGTCTGCGAACAGGGAAGCGAGCGACAAGGCATGTCGCCGGCTACAGAAACCTTCCCGCCCGAAACCCAGCCTGGCTTTTGGACAGCCCTAGTCTCCTTCATGCTCCTCCTAGAGCTGGAGGACAAGCTGGCAAGTCACGATGAGACAAGTCACGATGTGACAAGTCTCCTTGAAATTTGCCATGGACGGGAGCGTCTGGAATGTCTTCTCTTCGTGGCACTACTGAGTGCGCAGGCCATATCAACATCATCGCACTTGCTGTATATGCAAAGCCTGTGTCTCTCGTAGCCTACAGTATACGCCATTGGAGCGAGTATTGGCGCTCTACCACTGCCTGGGACCGGAACTGTCACTCAGATGCCAGAGTTGAGCCTCGTTCAAGCAAAGGTTGAGCGGAGCACGGTTTCAACCACCTCTTGCTCCAAAGTCCTATTGTATATTACCAACTTGCCACGTTGAATATGTGAACAACAACGGCTCATAGCTTCCGTTGACACTGGGGTACAAGTCGGCTATGTGCCTTGGGTATGGTCAAGTCTGCTTGACAGAGACGGCTGCTGGCAGGACGTTGCAACGTGCAGAAATATCATTGGCACATGAATACTATTCACAACAGCATCCATCGACTCGGTGAATTGTTCAGCTCAACAATTCCACATAAGGTTCCGTTTCAGATGCCCTACTTATACCGATCATATGTATATTTATGGGCGAGTCGGCTCGCGAAACACTCACCTACCTACTCTAGTCTCTGGACACATCTCAGCGAGCAACAATTGGGAATTCAGTGCCTCCACAGGTAAGTATACCATTTCCCTACCCGTCTTCTGAAACCATGTTCTGATTGATGTAGTCGGCAACCATGAATACCGCCATTCGCGAGTTGGCCAAGAGAACGCTCGAACTACGTACTAATGTCGCAGCTCTGCAAAACGACATCTCAGCAGTGCAGCAGCAAGTCAACCAGCTGAGCAATAGCCTCGCTCCAGCAGCCCCTTCTGAGCCTGAGGTGCAGCCGTCGTCGCCGCCAGACGTTCTGCCCCTATACGCAAGAAGAATCGGTTTCGCAAATCATACCGAAGTGGAGGCAGCCTATAACAGGAACCCGGCAGATTTCATCGTCCAGGTGAAAGCCGCTCTAAGCGATAGCCTTGTGCCTTACCTCTGGGACAATGCGGAGTCCGTCAGCAGGATGAAGCGGTTCTTCACAGACGCTGGCATTACGCTTGATTTACTGGAACTGGGCGAAGTTCAGAACAAGAACTTTCGCAGCGTGGCCGAATACGACTTAGTGGTGAGGGGTGACATGGTCGTAAGGCATCTTCGGGCGCATAATTGGGTCAGAGAGGAGTTTGTGCTATTCTGGACATTATTGGAGATTTGTCGTCAGTATGGGATTGTACGTGAGTGATGGAGAAGAGCTGGGAGTTTGTTGTCTCACATGCTGCGTATAGGGTAGCTCATCCTAGACGAGGCTGTCGGTTGATGGCTCTCGAGACTTCTCGTCGACGGGAACAGTTGAATAAGGAGTCTCTAGTCAGGAAAAGAGTTGCTAAGATGCAAATAGTGTGACTTTACAGTCACATAACAGCTGCTGTTACGGATGCTACAGGGCAAGCAAGATTGCACACGGCCAAATTGAGACAAACGGATGCTCTACAACACGGGGAGACGTCTTCACTTCTTTCCAACCCAGCCTATTACAACCCTGAAGTAACCCTTTCTTACAGATTCTAATGCGAAACAGTCATCCGATCCAGAAGCTACCTTGTTTTAATTCTCTATCCTGAACTCACTATACAAAGTAAACTTCAAAAGTACACAGATGAACACGGCAAATGTCTCCTTCTACCATCTCCCTCCCTCACCCTCACCCCCTAAACAACCCAGATACACAAGCCAGACCAAAACACCCAACAAACTCAAACTGAATCCAATGCCACCAAGTCAACGCTCCTATTTGTACTATCCATTCACGACCAAGCTGCAGAAAAAAAGACAAAGCCGCGCGAACCCATTTCCTCACTCGCCACCAACCCGCGCGGAAACTTGCCAACCTCTTTCAACCTCTTCAAAACATCTATTTCCAACATTTACCTCTCCGAAGGGGCAGCGCCAGAAAGAAAGAAAGGCAAAAGCCTCCCTCTCAAGCCACTCAACGCACGTATTTCCCTAATTGGCAATTCTGAGAAATCTGGAGAGACTTTTAGAAACTCTCCTACCCCCTCTTCTCATTGTCCGCTGTTCAAGGAGGGTGCGCCATTGCTGGCTCTACCCGCAAGTTTTTCCCTCTTAGCCAGACCACCATGTGCGTAGTATCAACACTCCGGGGTAAAGACAGAGAAGAGAAGAAGTAACAAAGTCGATTATCGAAACCTAGAAGGTTCGGAGCATCCTTCTATCGACCAAGGTTCTTACATGGCTTTTCCTTCTGTAGGTCGTGTTCCGCGAACCACTCAAGCCACGTCGTCAACTCAAGTTTTCAACCATTCAGAGATTTGCAAATTCGCTTGAAAACGGCCGCTCCTGATAGATGGAACCGTCTCGTTGGGTCTGCCCTCCAACTACCCTCAACGCCCTCTCTAAATCGTGATTTCGCCTGACACCTCGCAGGCCGCTTGCATCAATCGAAATTTCTCGTCGCAGCTCCCCAGCCACTCTCATTTCCTCTTCCACGGCCGTGGCTTCAAGCCACCGTAGCACAGGCAATGTCACGCCGAGCATCATGGCTTGGTCACCTGAATCAGTGGCAAAAGCCACAGCCAGACGCGAACAAGAAAAACAAGGTCAGGGGAACTTGCATAGAGGACAACGAATAAGAAATCAATGGAAATCTGCATCAATGGGCCTGGCGGCGGAGCAAAAGACAAAGACTCACCAAACAACGCGTCCAATCAACGGGCAGACATGCGGTCTCCTGCAAATGCGCACCATCATAGGCGCAAAGCAGAATCAAAAGCGCGCCTCTGCATGATGCGCGCCTGAGCCGCGAATTGCCGAGCCCCAAGCATGTAAACCCAGAGAATGCCAATGCCATATTCCGCCCCAAAGACGGATTCGACGATCTCTCGTCTAATTGAGTTCAAGCCTTCTCCGGAGGAGAATCATGAAAACCTGGGGAAATAGAGTTCAATCCTCATGGCGATGGCTTCGTCCCGACAAGTTCCCACAGACGTCCGGCAAAGCCCCACGGCCGCTCGCCACAAGCTTTCTGTCAACCCACCCAAAACCTGGGGCCCCGGATTCTCGTCTTCTGTCGCCATCACGGACCCTTTTTTCCAAATCTTGCTTCCCAAATCTTGGAGTATCTAGTTCGATGGGGCGAAAACTGGAGATGCCCAGACTCCAGGATCTCGCCTTTCGTCGTGAACGCGGTCGTAATTTGTACGTAATTGAAACTCCACCATGGGGAAGGGGAGGAGGGTGAACCGAGAGAAGAGCTGGCTGAGCGAGTCCATCACGAGATCTGTCCTGTCAATCGTGACGAGATGCCTCCGCAGCAACCGAAGTCGTCAATGCCGGTGGACCTGGGGTTAGTTTCGCTGATGAAGGGAGGCCGCTATCGAAAGATGTCGTCGAGGCCAGCTAAAGAGCGGCTCAGCCTGGAGAGATGAGAGCTGCAAAGCTACCTTGAGGTAGAGTAGTACCACTGTGTAGTAATATGTGATTGTAAACCCAGACTGTCAAATGAACGCAGAGCCGCGTGAAATAAGCTTGAATTCAAACTGCTTCATCCGGCGTGGATACAATCCTACAGCATATGGTAGTATTCTGTGTTGCAAAGAGGTCAAGATTGTCGCAGTGACCGTCGGTCCCGAGGGCCGCTTGGCTCCTTGGCAGCTCCTGTGTCAATGAGTGCTTACGCCATGCATGAAGCCTCATGGTATCAAAGGGATGTCAAGAGTCTGACAGGCGGAAACCTGCCGCTATCTTGGGAGACATGATCAGTCTCGATTCTTTGAGGGGTTTTCCCCTCTCAAGTTGTCAACCATTGCTGCTGGTGGAGCTGCTGCCCACGACACTGCTCCATAAGGTATGGAATTGACAAGCCCACATGCGTATGCACAAAACGCGCCATGTTCCTTCAGCTTTCCCACTCTGCACCTGCAAGCGCCTGTTATTATAAGCTTGGACACGAAAGCGGAGCAAGGGAGCATGGGGAGGTTGATAGACGCTGGTCGATACTGACTCATGCCGCTGAGATTCTCTCTTGCAAAGAGATGAGATGACCAACAATCAACGCGTCATTTGCTTCCCTTGCTTAGCCTTCGATATCAACGCGGTCGGATACCCAAAAAGAGAAGAGCGACCGCGACGAACCACGTCTAAACTGGAGATATGGAGCGACGCATTGCCGGCAGCATTCTCGACACCGGAACGACTTGTGGGATACATACTAAGCGCGGCCGGCGTCTGCCTTTTCCGTTTTGCTAAAATGATTGTTACTGTCCCATTGGCACCCATCATTTCAGTCTAGGGCATCTGCTTGACTTGCCTTGCTTAGTCTTATCGAGCTGAGACAAGGCGCGGCAGCTCCGCCGCAGACTGCCAACGTGGAATCGGTCCAGGCTGCTTCGTAGCAGTCTCACCACTAGCCAGCTGATGTGCTTATCAGCTCGGTCTCTCTTCGCTCATGGCATCGGTATTATTCTCTGCATGCCGAATCACATCTCTGGCCGAGGAGACGGCGTCGCCGATCCCTGGGGAGAGTGTCATTCGCTCATCTGCTGCACCAGCCGTGCAACCTTGCCACATGCGGCTAACGGGGGCCGGGACAAACAAGTTGAAGCAGGCATCAAGCATTAGCACCCGATTTCCCCAATAGCGTTGTGCGAAGAGGTGGCATGAGATTGCAAGGGCCACTGCTGAGAGCTACAAGCAGTTAGCCGTGCTCTGTATCAAGCCAAAAGCGATGAAGCCATCGCATCATGCTCTTGGAAGCACAGAAGCAGTAGAGACATGTACCACCCCGAGGTCCGTAAGGTGCTCAAAGCTAGTCCGCAAGGTGTAATATGAGACAGCAGCAGTGCTCCGTCGTCACTGTCTCGTGTTAGTGGCGCGAGATTCGTGCTGTTCCGGCCTCGAGCAACTCCTCACCTGCAACATGCGTGTGCTACTCGTAGTGCTTCTAGCGATTCTAGAACATTGCACCCGTCTCACTCTCCGTTTGCAAGTTGCATTACGGCCTATGCTAGAGGCGCCCTCCGCGCCGCCTTGCCGTACCGGAGAATTTGGTGCTTTGCGGGGTGAAGAGAAGCCTTCGAGAGCCTCGGGATAGAGCGGAAGAGACGGGCTAGGCTTGGTAGACCAAGGCTCTCCTGCAGCCACCTTGACACCAGATAAGGCCTGCCTTGTCTGTTCCTGCGGGCGGTGCTGGACTAGGCCGGGAGGGTTCAAGGACCAAGGCGCCGTACTTGATGCTTCTGCGTTAAAGCGATCGGCGCCATCGTCCAGTAGCCCAAATCGCGTGGTGTAGCATCAGGGACGCTGCTTATGCATGTCACCAAGGCGTCCAGCTTTTGCCAGAGAACGAAGGTCTGAATGGTGTCACTGCAGACGGATAGAGTGCACGTGCATCAATGCTGCTGCGTGTTGTCGATACTCTCTCTCTCTCTCCACCTGGCATGTGCTTATCGTCAGGTCTGACTCGTTTCCTTTCCCCTCGTGCTAACGATACATACCCCGTACTGTTGCTAGTGATTCATGAGCCTGCTTGTGGTCCGTGTGTACCGCCAGTCTCGCATCTGGCGTCCTAATGGGCAGCGCAGTGGTTAGATTGATATCTGGAGAGGAGGCAAAAGCGACGCTAATGACATAGGTACAAAGCCCCTAGTATGTATCGAGTAGTATAATAGTGCTTGTCGGCGCCAAAAGTATGGGGCAATTGCTCGTCTCATCGCTTGGCTTGTGAGGAGAAGAGATAGAAGCAGAGGAGGCCATCACCGCGCAACAAACTCTCCACCGGACGCCGTCGCTTTCCCTTGCTTGGTTCGCGGTGCCTGTACGAACCAACGGGTGGTGGCACCAGGGAAGTCATGCTTATAACGCCCTCGGGCTGATTGAGCGGCTTCTAGAAGAAAATATCGCATTCTAGTGTTGAGGCTCGGTCTTGTGGTGGGCAGTTTCTGGCCTCCATGGCGTTGGGGTGTGCAACTGCTGCCGCCTATCACGAAGAGGGGACGACATTAGCCGAAGGAGGCACCAGGCGTAGCACAAGCATGGCGCCACGATGTAGGCTAGGGTGAAGCTAGAAGCATGGAGCGTTTTCTCGAGAGAATAGCAGACGAGTGTGATTGAGCTGGATTGACTACTATGGCGGGGGGGGCAACGGACAATAACGACGATATCACAGGGCTAGCCAGATAGCCCAGTTCGCCAATATCTGGTGGGCTAGCGAAGCGTATCGTACACGATCTCAGTGCGTATGTAATAGATTCGTTAGTATCAGCACGCTGTGCCGTATCTCGTCTGCATATGGCACGGCGAGCGAAACAGTCCTTGTATTTCCCCAGCAGCCTTGCTGAGGCCTTGGCCGGGCTTCGCGTCTCTGGCGCTTGAGCGGTGATCATGCAACCAGCCGTCTGCGTACTTGGCAGCTCTACACCGTCGTCTGTGCGGGATCCGGGAACGCAAGGAACCAGGCCGGTGACACTCACCCAACCATGACCAGGGTGCTCGTATTATGGTGCCCGATTCAGCACACTCACAAGTGCAGGGTCCAGTACAAGGCACTCCGGAGGACAGCAGTTCCAGTACAACAGGAGAGAACATCAAGGGACGCCAAAGACGTTGTGAGGCGGTCACTTACATGACATGAAGCAGTTAGTAGCGTCTGGAAACACGCACGTCTCATACAAGCATCCATTTCGTGCTTCATCCTTGGCGATATATTCCCTCTTGGATAGATACGAGTAGGAAGCGGCGCTTGCGGTGTTTGGGGATAGACGGTTGCCAGAAGTAAAATGACCGCCTTTTCTTGTCCTCCCAGAAACGATCGTCTGTTGGCTCACGACTCGTGTTCGCCCCGCGACCTGTGAAATTGGGCAGTCGGCGATGATACCAGAAGCTGATGGATGCAGTAGATGCGACCCGCCGGCGCATCGGGCCAAGACGACAGCTTTGGGCCAGGAAGGGCAGGTCAGCAGGGCCCGAAGCTTCCTAGAATGCTTCATGGAAGACGCACGTCGCCACCGGAGGCCCCAGATCTAATGGGTGTGTGGCCTCTAATAGTGCTAGGCTTGGAAGAGATACACCGGCTGCGGCGATGCAGCCACCAACCACATGTGATCGTGCTATCGCTCGTGGTGGAGGTCTTCACTCTACTGGAGGCGTTGTTTGCACCCGTATGTATGAAGAAATCTAGTACGAGATCCTCAGCTTCTGCCAACTGGCGCGTGCTGAGGGAGCGAACGATGAAGAGAAGGCAGCCTTGCCCGAGTTGGCTCGGCCGTCGACGAGCTGATAGTCCCGGTGGATCACAGATTGCCTCGTCGTTTGTTCAAAAGGCTATCGGAGGCAAGCGGCCGGTGTGATCGAGGCGAACTTGAGCCATGTGGCGTGCGATGGACAAGCGCAGGAGGGAGTGCAGCAAGATGGCGACCAAGCTCAAGAGAATGGAACGATTGCGGAGTCGAGTCTGGTGATGCTTGGGCAGACCCGCAAGAGACCTGAGTGCGACGGAGTGCTTTGGACAACCGGGCGAGCTGAATGACAACTGATTTTCTCTCAAGCGGTACGAGTAATGGGTATTCAGTGGCAGGAGTTTGATCGGGCATCTGCTACATCGCGGGTAGTGAATGCGACCAAGTTGTGTGAATCTCCTTTCCTTCTCCTGGGGTCGGAGTTCAAGGCTTGAGAATATTCCCGTAAAGCCTTCTGCAAGGGACAAGCAATGCTAGCAGCGAGCATCATGATGCAACTCCATCACCGAGCAGCAGCTGTCGACATGCCGGTGGGTGAGCGTGGATCGACCATCAGCTGGGAGGCGAGATAGTTGACCAGGCGAGGCGAGGCGGACCAGTGCCAGGAGCCCCTTGTTAGCAATTGGGATCCTTCGATTGGGCAGCATATTGAAGCGGTACCTGGTCGTTACCCAGGTTGCCGGGCACTTGCTCTGCTGTCCGTTTCGTTGGCCTTTGACCAAGTGCCCATAACATGGCAAGAGGGCGAGTGCGATCTCTCAAGCGGTGTGCTGGCGCTGACACGAATGAGGCAGTACTAACATCTCAAGGCTCCAGCTGGTCTCGCCGCTGCTTTTTCCAAAGAGACAAGAGTACCTTATCGAGTAGGCACTTTGCACATACATACTCTATGTACATCCGTACCGGCTTGACAGGGAGGAGGAGCGAGATCCATGGTAACCAAGGGCCGGGTGATGCCGCCTTGATGCGAATGCAAATGCAACCAACTGGACTGGCTGATGTACAGGATACGGGCAGCCGTCATGCCGTGATACCTGTCCATCTGTCCAAGGAACCTGCGACCTTGGGTAGCAGCGATCAGCGTTACCGAGTCCATGTGCGCTGCGACGCGGAATGTGCAGGTCAATGCTAACACTCAGCAGCGGCAGCCCGTGTCGTCGGTGCATCGCCAGCCGTCGCTGCAACCTTGTATCCAAGAACCCTGAAGTACGAGGCTCGGAGCACCTGTGGCAGGTTCCGGCCAATTGGCGGACTCGCCTAGGGAACCGCAGCGCCACGGCCCCCGTACTGCACAGTAGCGCCAACATCTCCACGCATCCATGAATTGCCCTTAGGCCGCAAGCGTGCTGCGTGCCCACTGAACAGCCAGCAGCCGGTGCCAGGAGCAAACCCCCAACTTCCCCGTAGGGGCAGTGGGCCTCTCTATCTGGCTCGCTGCGGGCATCACGCGGCATCCACTGATAGCGGCAGCGAAACGATTTGATAATCAGCAAGCGATACAGCGATGCGGGGACTCTTGATAACCACTGCACCCTTGGCTCCTAATATTGCTCACTCGTGCCAGAGCATGGGCAGTGGTCGCCGTAATTCTTCCGGCCGGTGGTCTGTGTGTCTTGTCTCTGATACGGCATCAGCACATGGTAAAAGCGCCTTGTCGTGGGCGATCTGGCAGCGGCAAGGTACCTCCAGTCGTCCAGTGCAGGTACAGGCAAGGCACGACCACGAGCACAAGCACAAGCACAGCGACGCAGAGAGAACGGCCAGCCAGTTTGCTTCGGGCAAACCAATAGGCCGCCAAGATCTGCACGACCAGAGACGTCTATCCATGAGTGGGATTGGGGAAGCAGGGGGGTGAGGGGCGCTCCCTCGACATGGACCGGGATCCAGCACGCGCGTAATGTGGGATGGGTTATCATCGCCTTTGTGGAGACCAAGAGGTTAGTACGAGTTACAAGGCAGAGGCCGGGGATTTGGAGCGTTTGGGAGATACGCCATACTGGATGGTGTAGCGCTCGTACCTGTATCGTACTGCAAACAGGCCGGTGTCACCAGCTCTTTGCTTGCCTGGCTGCTTGCACCAGGATCAATCGCACTTGTCTGGGCTTGTACCAGGCCAAGTACACATAGCGCAGTTAGTAAGGTATCGTACTGGGTTACCAGGATGCAGATGCAGCAGGTGAGAAGCAAGAGGCGGCAGGGATCGATGTCGCATCGAGCAGATTGCTGCTGGGCCAGCTGCGTGCTTCTGCTGTCGTCGTGGTTGGTGACGGTTCAGGTACAGGAGAGTGAAAGAGAGTACAGTAGAAGAAGAAGAGGGTTGATAGAATCATGAAGAGGCTGGACGCGTCGAGAATCGGAGTCGCCTTCAGTTCGTCTGGTGCTTCGTGCCTGCCCAATCTTCTCCGGATTGCATGTGAGGCAGGTACCTCTCCTCGAACCTGAATGTACCTCTTCGCAGTCGTCAAAGTACTGGAACAGCACCGCCAGAAGTCCCGAGTCGCAAAGGCTCCCACACACAACCGGAGCTGCCTCGTACATGACCGGTAACCTGATCAGGGACTCAAGCCGGGCAGAGTCAAGGCGATCCAGGCCTTTTTGCTCTTGGCTTGCATCAACGTGCTGCGGTCTGCTCTGCGGTGTCTCACGCTTCCCTCCCACCCCCTCCAACAGCTCACCCAACTTCGACAACGCCGACTGGCCCGTCGGACTGCATGGCAATTTGATGTGCGGGTGCCAGAGACCACCAGCAACGGCTCGAGGTACTTGCCTCGTGGCTCCAAGGTACCTTTTCCGCCTCGGTTGAAATCTTGGCTCTTTTCCTCCCCTCCTCCTTCCCACTTTCTCTTTCTCGCCTCACACCCCCCGGCGCCTCGTTTTATTCTTTTTTTTTAATCCAAAAAATAAAACAAAACGGGCTGCGAAGCTAAAAGCCTCGAACCTCGTTAGCCTCACACCAAAGACAAGCCTCCCCAAATCGCCCCTCTCCAAGCCTCCAGCCCTCCAACCCCAGACAAGCCTCTGGTGCAACGTCCTTTGGGGCCTTTTGCCATCTGGTTCCTGCGAAGGCTTCCATGCATAAATCGTCCTAGTCGACACCGCCCTCACCCGGAATCCCTGCTGCCAGCCAAAGGGTCTCTGGTCCCCCAACCGCATCGGAATTGATAAAGGTCGACCGTCCCTCGTCCTCGTCCTCACTTCTCTCCCCTCTTTCTTCTTCACCCTCCTTCTTCCTCCCCACGTGTAACGTCTCCAGCCTTGCACAGGGCAGCAGAAGACAGGCACAGCAAGACAGGACAACAGACCGACCCTCCATCATGTCCACCAAGGAGAGCGGCCTCGTCACGCCCCCCGAGAAGGGGGACAATGTCGTCGACTACCAGGCCAGCACCGCCGTCATCCCCGGCGAGGGCGTGGAGCGCGATGGCAACTGGTTCACGCGCAACGGCCTCAATGCCGATTCCTTCAAGAAGAAGCACTATGGCCCCGGCCTCGTGGAGCTCGAGCGCCCCATGAAGGCGCGCCATCTGCACATGATCGCCATTGGAGGCTCTATCGGTGCCGGTTTCTTCGTCGGCTCGGGTGGTGCTCTGAGCAAAGGTGTAAGTTTCGGCTTCTCCCCCCTGTCTCCATCCAGCTTGAAAGACGTCGTGTGTTTGCTGACAGCGCTTTGGACAACAGGGCCCTGGTTCTCTCTTCGTCGACTTCCTCATCGTCGGTATCATGATGTTCAACGTCGGTGAGTAGCTTTGCATCTTCCCCTTTCCGTGCCCATGATGGTCTTGTGGCGCTGACAATGATGCCGATAGTGTATGCCCTCGGTGAACTCGCCATCATGTACCCCGTCTCTGGTTCTTTCTACACGTACTCTGCTCGATTCATCGACCCCGCGTGGGGTTTTGCCATGGGTTGGAACTATGTCCTTCAGTGGGCTGCCGTGCTTCCGCTCGAGTTGACCGTCTGTGGTATCACGATTGGGTACTGGAATAGCGACATCTCCGTGGCCGTCTGGATCTCCATCTTCCTCGTTGCCATCATCATCATCAACGTGTTTGGCGCCCTGGGCTATGCTGAAGAGGAGTTTTGGGCGTCGTGCTTCAAGCTCGGAGCGACCGTCGTCTTCATGATCATTGCCCTCGTCCTCGTCCTTGGTGGTGGCCCCTCGGATGGCCGTTACAACGAGTACTGGGGTGCCCGGTACTGGTACGACCCCGGCGCCTTCAAGAACGGCTTCAAGGGATTCTGCTCCGTCTTCGTCACCGCCGCCTTTTCCTTCTCTGGCACTGAGCTGGTCGGTCTCGCCGCTGCCGAGTCGTCCAACCCCACCCGCAACATGCCCGGTGCCATCAAGCAGGTCTTCTGGCGTATCACCGTCTTCTACATCCTCGGCCTCTTCTTTGTCGGACTGCTGGTCGACAGCAACGACCCTGCTCTGCTCTCCGAGTCCAGCTACTCGGATTCCAAGGCCTCCCCCTTTGTCCTCGTCGGCAAGTATGCTGGCCTCAAGGGATTCGACCACTTCATGAACCTCGTCATTCTTGTTTCCGTCCTGTCCATTGGCGTCTCTGGTGTGTATGGTGGATCCCGAACCCTGACTGCGCTTGCTCAGCAGGGCTATGCTCCCAAGCTCTTCACCTACATTGACCGATCTGGCCGTCCCCTGCCCTCGGTCATTGCCCTCATCCTGTGCGGCTTCATCGCCTACGTCAGCTTGAGCGCCACCGGCCCTGTTGTCTTTGACTGGCTCCTCGCCATTTCTGGTCTTGCCGCTCTCTTCACTTGGGGCTCCGTCTGCCTTGCCCACATTCGATTCCGCAAGGCCTGGAAGTATCACGGCCACACTCTCGACGAGATCCCCTTCAAGGCTGTCGGTGGTGTCTATGGTTCTTGGCTCGGCCTCATCCTCTGCATCATTGTCCTCATCGCCCAGGTAAGAACAAGAATCCGCTCCTTGCTCAATCCCTTGTTTTATTCCAAAGATGTCGTACTGACTTGCTTGACTCCAGTTCTACACTGCCATCATTGCCGGCCCTGATGTCAAGGGCATGGGTACTGCGGAGAGCTTCTTCAAGCAGTTCCTCGCCGCCCCCGTCGTTCTGGCATTCTGGATCATTGGCTGGGTCTGGAAGCGTGAGCCTTTCCTGCGAACCAAGGATATTGACGTCGACACGGGCCTCCGTGAGCTCGACTGGGATGAGATCCGTCGCCACCGCGAGGAGGTTGCTGCCTTGCCTGCCTGGAGACGTATTCTCCACACCCTGTTCTAAAGAACTCGGGCTGAATCCTCTTTTCCCTTTTTCTTTTCTGTTTGAATGATGCATGCATGTGGTTCTTCCGTTGGGTTAGACGGCATGAAGACATGAAGGATGCAGGCTGGAGTAGGGCGACTGGGCCCGGACGACGATGATGTAACGCTGCGCATGCGACCATACCCCTGATGTCGTGGCATGATTTTTCCTGTAAACAATTAGCTTCTCTTTCTATTATACTACAAGATACCACGGGGGCCTTGAAGCCTCCAACGGGATGGGAATTGAACCAATATACCTGTTCATACATGCCAACATTGCTTTCGAATCGGTGGATCTCGTGCTTGAAGATTGGTAGATGATTTGACCGGCCCGTCTGGGCTCTGTGTTTAGCTCAAATCTCGATCGAGCTTGAGATTAATGAGTTGAGAACGGCCACCGAGACTGCTCCAATGTTGTGTGACGTCGTTTGATGGTGTAGGAGCCGATGGATATGACGTCCGACTAACATGGAATTTATTGAAGGCGGCATTGGTGGATTCGTGAAGATGCCCGTTTCGAGTGTTGCTGTAAGTAGTCAAGAAGTTTGGAAGCCGTGCATGACAAGGTTGGCCGAGGAGGTGAAGTGACGGAGACGCTGACATGATCAGGTTGTATCGGAGTCGAGCTGCCGTAAAGGGCGCGACCTAACGTCGGATCCGATGCCGAGCGCTCTCTTATGCCGACGGAGTGGAATCCTAGGAAAGGAGCCGAAAATGAGGGAATGCATTCTGAAGAGAGGGAAGAACTGAGTCGAGTAAAATCGATATGAAAATGAAAATGGGAATGAGGCGAGGAGAGTTGATGAGATTATCTGTCTTGTAGGTTGCTTTTGTCGTCCCTTGTCGGCTTTCGGTACGAGTTAGGTGAGAGAGGTGACGACATGCGGCGGTGTACTCGTACATGTAAGTAAGCTGGAGCTTATTTCTTGTAAGCTTTACAGGAGGTTTGTAAAGAAAACCGGGGAAAGAATCAAAATAGAAAAGAGGAAAAAGTAAAAGTAGAAAAAAGAAGGAGAAAGGAAGAGAAAGGAAGAAAACAAGGAGGAGAGAGAGTGAGAGAGAGAGAGAGAGAGAGAGTAGGAAGAGAATCGACAGAACGGAGGAAGCAAACGGAGGTTACTAACTTGGGGAGGACCCGCCACGCGCCATAACATGTCGTTTGCTCGTCACCTGGACTTTGTCTGGCGCGCGCCCTTGTGAGAAAAAAAATGAAGAACGGTCACCGGCCAGTCAGTGCTGATGAGTTATCCAATAGTTTAGGTGTTGCGGTGGTTGTGGTTGTGGTGGTGGTGGTGGATTTTAAAATTTCTGATAGTGTAAGGTATATATTCCCCGATTGACATGGCCGGACTTCGGCCTGCGCGCCCTACGGCGGACTTGCACTTGACATGTGCAGGGGAGGGGGCGGTTGGTGGAGAGTGGGGGGGGGACTTGGAGTATGTATGTAGTAGTAGTAGTAGATAGATTTGGGCTGAGGATCGAGCTGAGATCTATGAGATGAGATACGAACTACGGTAGACTACGGGGAGATGGGTTTGACGTTTAACATAGTGTAGTAATGTAGATGTATTTTTAGATTAGTGAGAGGGCAAGGAGGTACATACTTATTACGGCTGGGATGTGATCAAGTACGTATAAGCAAGACAGGACGCGGTGTTGTTGCGATAAGAAATGGATGTGCAATGTCCGTTTATTGCTCGATTGGGAGGCATGTCAGAGAACGAGGATGACAAGGAACAGAGGTGTTTATTATGTAAACTCCCCTGCTGCGGCATATCGACAGCAACACATCGAATCAGGAAGTCCAGGACGAAGAAAGTGTGCATATGGAACCCAACGTCAGGTGACGAACCCACCATGTTCCGTACATGTGCTTACTACCTATCACTACATGTTGCTTCCTTTTCTCTCTCTCCTTCTCTCCCTTCCCTCTGGTGGCCGGAGAGTTGAACCTGCTTCCGGAGCGGCTTCTCCAGGACAATGACTTGATATAGCATAGCCGACTCCCCCCAAACCAGTTCAAAGGGCTGTAAGTGGAGCTGACCTCGAGGTATACGCGCTTGTTTACTTCTGTTTAAAAACTTCCCTCTCAATGTATTCTCAATGGAAGCTTCTGAGTCTGATTAGAGGCATACTTTGCGCGGAGTATGCATTGGGGATATTGGGGAGTGATATGATAGAAGGTGTCAGAGGTCTAGTGCAGGTGGTGTGATATGGAGAACATGGACATATGATGTCTGTTGCGCTGCAGATGGGCGATTGCTGAGAAGGAAATTGGGAGACGAAGATGACTCACGAGTGTATATGGTTCCACGATAGAAAGATTATGGTGTTTCACTATCAAACTGATGAAAGTCAAATGGAGAGCTCTCTTCTCGACTTTTGTAAGCAGCAGTGTGGGCAGTTTACGTAGAGATGTGCAAAGCTGATCATCATTCGACTTGATATGAGAACACGAGGGCAAGCTGGCAAGACGGTAACATAGTGGTGACACGTATGATGCATGCCAGGAGTCATACCTCAACACACAACTTCTTTTGCGGACAATCCCGGTATGCCACCAGCTCTATAGGCTTATCGACCACAAGACCAACACATTAAGACACGACTAACCCAAATTTACGAACGAAAGTGAAAACGAGAAAGAAAAAGGAAAGAAGAAGGAGAAGAAATAGGAAGAGAGGCAACACGCAAAGTTCCACTATATTCAACTCAGTAATTCTGCCTCTCCACCATGGCCATGACGTCCCCCACCGCCGTCCTCGCCAACTTCTTGAGCAGGATCTTGTCGTCCGCCTCCCGGTACCGCTCCCACCCGTCCAGCCCCTCCCGCGCCTGGATGCTCAGCGTCTCGTAGCCCTGCTTGATCACCTCGGCCACCTGCTGCGTCGTCAGGTTCGCCGGCAGCTTCTTCTCCGAGCTGCCCCGCGCCGTCAGCATCTGCTTGTAGTGCGCGCCGACGCTGATGAGCGTGTCGATGGAGTTGCTGTTGCGGTTGCCCAGCCGGTAGTTCTCCTTGAAGGAGGCGAGCACCTCGCCCGACTCAAAGACTTTGTAGAAGAGGTCGTCGTAGGCGGCCGGCGTGGGCAAAAAGGCCTCGCCCGCCGACAGAGACAGTGCCACCAGGTTGACGACGTGGTCGAGTACCGTTTCGATGTGCTGCAAGTCTTTCAAGTCCGAAGCGTACGTGTTGAGGAACCGGATGAGCGAGAGCAGAGACCGGAAGAACTCGGACCAGTGGTACGTCAGCCGCGTCCGCGAGCGCGATAGATAGGAAATGATTCGCAGCATGATGCCCAGGCAGAGGACATAGAGGCTGACGTCCAGCCGCCGCTTCAGGTTGTGATTGATGCCGTCGAGCATCGTGTCGAGGACGCACGCCGCAAGCACGCGCTCCCCCTTGACCAGCGGCAGGTAAGGCTGCCGTTGTCGACAGAGCCGCACAGAGGTCTTGGACTCGTCGCTGCAAATCTTCTTGCAGATGGCCGGATCCTCAATCAGCAGACGGAACACCATCAGGTTCAGATGCGCATAATATGTCGCTCGAGACGACAGGTGTGAGTGCTGTAGGAGATACGACGTGAGCGACAGATAGCTCGCCATCGGACGCTCTCTTCCCTTTTCGGCGGGTAGGGTCACGAGATGGAAGCAAAACAGTTTGTTCGCGTGAGAGAAGTCGTACGTCGCCAACAAAACGGCGGCGTTCTGGCCGGGTCTGATGGTGTCAGTCTTCAACATCACCCATCAACGATGGTCGATAGGGCTTGGGCATAGCTTACAGCTTGGTAAACAGCTGCTTAGCTGTTGCAGCGTCATACACAGGCTTCTTCTCCGGCTTCGGGCCCGGCGTGATGGCCCCCAGCCCGATCATGTTCAGGGTGCTGCTCAACGTCCAGCCCTCGGGAAGATCATCCTGAATGTTGATGTAGTCATTCCGCAATGCCTGAGATACACCTCCGATGCAACGCACGACCTTCTGAATGACCGCCTCGTTGACAAAGTCATTCAGGCGCAGCTGATATGGGTTCTGGAATTCAAACTTGTTGTAATTGGCGAGTATCCCTAGCAGGGTAAACGGCTCCAAGCCCTGCTCAGGCTGATCCGAGCTTTGGATGAACTAACACATGATGTGGTTGGTGAGCCTGCCGTCTGGGTCCATGCTTGTGCACTCTGCCCGCTGCAACATACCTTCATAATGGATGGGAACAAGTCCCTCTGTATCATGTACGTGAGGAGCGTCGTCTGATAGGCACCCGCCGAGACGGCCAGCAGCACCTCGATGGCCTTGTGGCGCAGATCCACTGCATCGTCCCTCCGTCAGCCAAAGTTGCACAGCACCCAGCACGGTATCGAGGGGGTACACACAGTCTGTCCCATTGCGAATGATTCCATCGAGAGTGCTCACAAAGTCTGTAAACACAGTATCAACATGATCGAGGCCGGCCAGGATAGTGATGATGTCGGAGCTCGGGTGCGAGTGCTTCTTTGTCAGCACGCAGGAGAGAAAGACACTCAAGGTCTATCGAAGTGTCAGCAAGGGAAACCCGCCGGTCCCCATCCACGGGGGCTCAACCCAATGATCGTAGCACTGCGCACGCACATCAAGAGCGTATAACGGGGCCAAGCCCTTGCCATTCTTAACCGCCGCAATCGCCTGGCTGAAGAGCTCTCTCGTCCGCTCCTCGAGGAGCAGCAAATCGGCCGGGTGGATGTCGTTCAGGATCCTCCTCAACGTCGGCCGGTCGGGTCGCAAGAGGAAGAACTCCCTCCAGAAGCCCTCGGACTTGTCGCCGTCGTCGTCCTCCTAGCACGCCGCCTTCGATCAGCATGAGCGCATGCCAGAGAAAAAGTAGAAGAAACGGATATACAGCATGTAGCGAATGCGAATACCTTGAAGCAGAGCGAGTTTAGCTAGAGTATCCTGTGCAGGGAGAGAGTGAGAGAGGCGGCTGTGGGCAAACCTTGAAAAGGGCCGAGTAGAGCTCGATGATCTTGGGAACGAAGACCTCAGGCTGAGGCTGGCGAGTCAGTGGTGACGCCTCCATGGGATGCGACGTTGGCGGAACGGGGAGCTACGAGCTCCTGTCATGACAGACGGAGGTTCGAGAGACGACGTGGATGTCATTATCGCGACCCTGGACGGTGGGGTGCGATATGAATAACGGGAGATTGCACGCCAAGCACTGTATAAGAGCACGAACAATGGGATACGTGTACAGTGTTTACAATCAGAAGTACACTGTAACATTCTATTCAGCTGTCAAGCCAATCATGTTCTTCAATTGACTTCCCAGACAAGTTTGTGCTGCCTTGCTTGACAGCCATCCAAGGCTTGCGCTGCCAGAGCTGCTCTGGAGGTGTTCCTCCATCATCTTGGAGTGATAGTCAAACTCGCTTCTCGCTATACCGATGAAAGCTGAGGTAGACATCGAATAGCAGGACGACGTTGATACCGACGAAGTAGAGCTTCAAGCTTCGGCATTAAGCGACACTTTACACGAATCGGACTTGACACCGCCCGGAATATCAAGGTAATGATTGATTGAAATGATATTGTATTTTTGGTGCAAGATTTTAAACTTTTTCTGGGGAATTTGTGTGTAGTCAATGCTTGTGCCTTGTGGCACTTTTCCACCTCTCTACTGCAGCAACTCGAGCAACGCCAGTTTTGAGGGCTTAAAGAGATAACCATGCGCCTTGCCCATGAAACCCGCCATGGGCGACGCGATGCCCCCCGGACACGATATCGCTCGTATCTCCTGCCGAGTTGCCGCCCATTGTCGAATCTCGGGCCTTTCCCGGGATCAGCGATTGAAGAAACAGTCAGCTGCAGAGATGCAGCTCGGCTTGCCCCTATGTGCAGAGCAGCCAACAGCTTTTGTCGTCTTGGCCCAATCTTGACGACCTTTTGCAATACCAGGCGTCCCGTTCGGCCCCTTCCGACAGCACTCCCCATTCATCCAATATCGTAGTCGTACACAACACCTGGCCTCTGATGTAGTGTCAGTGCCGAGGCACGCCGTTTTGTGGTAAAAGTGAGATCGCTGGTAAAGAGATCATGGTCCGGACTCCCTCCTCTTAATCTCATCGTGCTTGTTGAAAATTCATATTCCTCATCTGCCATCCGCAGCCGTATTGCGTTTAAATCAAGGCTGCGCCACCGGACTCGATGGCCTCGATCTCGCTCAGGTCGATGGGGCGGCGGCGGAAGCGGGCAGGCAGCTCGGAAACGTCAAAGGCGACGCCCTTGGGAGGCAGAATGGAGCCGAGCTGGTGGCCAGAGGAGCCGCCAATGCCGGCATCAGCACCGCCGATGGTCTTCTGGAGGGGGCCGTGCTGCTGGGCGTGGTCACGGTAGGCGCCGAAGGAGTTGTGCCGGGCAGCCGCATCGCCGTTGCCGTAGTACGCAGTGAAACCCTCGGGAAGCTTGCCGGAGGGAGAAGCGGGGTGAGGCTGAGGAGTGTGGTCGATGGAAGCTGAGCGAGGGGGAGAAAAAAGCTCATGTCAGCACACACAACGTCCTTGATCGTCCTGGGAGGGATGAGGGCGATTGGTCTTACAGGGAATGGTCCGGGGGCCGAGGAATCGGATCATGGGAGTCCGCTCGGCGTGGACAGCGGCCTGTCGAAGGGCTCTCGTGGCGAACATGGTGATGTGAGTGAGGAGATTTGAGTGGTGGAGGAGAGGTTGGAAAGCTGGCGGCGGGGTTGTCGTGATCTGATATCAGATTGTTGGAGGCGTATGTAGGTCTCAGACGGAAAGCGGAATCGAGATCCAAACTCTGGGGAGCAGCGAGATACAACGAGTATAGAGAGAAGCTGGGGAGAGACAATGAAGAAGCAAAGTAGTGGACGGGAGGAGTCGCGCGAGAGTGGAGGTATCGCGGATTAATAAAACAGAGCACCAGGCCGGAGGGCCGGAGAGCGATAGCAGGAGCGAAAAAAATTAGAAAAGTTGGTGCGTAATGGCATCTTCTGCACGGCGCTCCAATTGGGAAATGCCGCCCACAGCCCACTGCACTGGCCTGCACATGCTTTAGGCTGCAAGGACGGCCCTAGCGCGCCCTTTGACACCTAAAGCACCTACAGGGCCTAGGCGAGACAGCGCCTACAGCACCTGCGGCCGCTGTAATTGGTGCCGGCCCAGCGTCCTCGTCCGAATTCGGGATCTCGGAGACGGGCGACCAAGCTCTTCGATTCGTCTTTTCCCCCATCCCCCACAGTTCGAAGCAGAGTCCACCCACACCAACAAACTCCGGTCTTATCAATCATGCCACGCATCTCCTGATTCAGTCGCCGGAACCTGCTCGCGTGCAATGTCCGACATGTTTCCATCAGATGCCGGTCCTCCCCCATACAAACTGGAGATTCCGGAGCTGCTGCAAATGTCAGATAATACAACGACAGCCGCCGACCCGACGAGACCTGACCGGCTCGATGCTCGACACCCCCGCTCACTCGACTCTCAAAACAAGGGCCTACGGTAGGGTCTCGCGGAGAGAATCGGAGCAGCAGCGGCCTCATCCCGCGTCGTTAAACGCCAAAACAAGGACTCGAGTCGTGTCTTGAACAAAATAGTAGTTGTGCGGTATCAACGCCATGAGCCCACCAGCGAATAAGCTTACCAGACTGACCCGGTCGTGTCTCCGGATTCATATGACCAAGAGGCGCTGCCTGTCTTACTTCTCTGTCCTCACCACACAAGTACTGCCGCATCCTCTCTTGGTGGCATGTCTCAGAGCTCCGGATACTCACGAGAGCCAACTCGTTCGCTCCCGTTCCGTCGCCCTGCATGCATGCCTTCTCCACCTCCACACATTGCGAACCCGGTCAGCCCTGGCCGGGCCGGCCATGCGCTCGAACCCCGCGAATTTCTACAGTGCAGCACTCCGTACGATTGCCCTCTTTTCTTCTCTCCTCTTCCACGTTGGTTCGCGCTTACGACGCGTTGCTGCAGCAAGTGTGAGTGGGCTATTCCGAGACCCGGACAAGGGCGTTTGCTGCAGATGTTTGCATGTGGTTGTTTGCTTGCTGCATCTTTCTCTCATGTCGCTGGGAGCTACCCAAACGGGTTATTCGGCGTGAGGACTTGCAATGTCGGCATCGGATTTCCAATTTCGTTGTAGCAGTATTTCCATATTACTTGTCCACCATCAGCAGCCTCTATTTCTGGATTCCGGAGCCGCCAACGCCGTGGAATGCTGCTGAACAAACCCATCAACGGCATTATCGGCCTGTAGCTCTGCTGCTTGATGCTTCAATTTCATCGGCTGCTTACAAGAAACGTCGACGTAAAGAAGCAGTATCTCTGCGCATCCACCGAGAGCCGATCTCCTCCCCAGTTTTTCTCTGGTCCAAAGGGAATAGACAAGACAGAAGTCATATGGCGCAATCTAGACTGCATGGCACGGCACAGCTTCCTCCCCCGCCCTCCTCCCCTGCTAATTCGAACTTCGGCATCTACTTTTGTGTCGAGGACGAGATTGCTTACCATTGCCCGAATACGTACTCCGTAATACGCAAGTAACATTCATGAGCCATGTAGTATTCTGCTCTGCTCTGCTCTGCTATTCTGCTTTGACCACCGCCAGCCGTAGAAAGTAGTCAACAAGTTTCATCTCTAAGAGAGAGAGCTCGCACTGGTGGGATGCCGAGGAACATGGGGATTACTTGAAAATTGTGAAATGCAGCTTCTCGACACTTGACAATCAACAGGCCCAACTTCCGAACACGTCCACAGCACGCGTTGTCGATTCCCATGCGCTTTTACAAGTACCACCACTTTTTTTTTTTTTCTTTTTTTT